TTTTGCTGCAACAGATGATTACCACAACCTCTCCAGAGTTTACCTCTACTCCACAAAAGCTTATGCCACAAGACATCAATTAATTTATCAATTTTCTAGAGATAGAAAAATTTACAGTACCAGTCCAAAATCAAAGCCACAAAAAAAAAAAAGACAGAAGTAAAGCTAACAAGACCTTCCCTTTCCTAGTAAATCAATACTGTAGATGCAGGTAAATCACTGGAGTCACCAAGCCCCCCAACGTAAAGTTCAAAAGCATCCATGCACAGTGTGTGTGATCTAACCACCTCTTCTATTTTTAAAAATCATTAACAAAAATCCTCAGCCACATTTACCATAACGTGATGTTGCTATGTGCCATACAGAAAAACTGTTGTTTGGGGCTTACTGAACTCCTGTTCAGTTTGATGCTTATGGGGCACTGGAAATTGGACAACACTGATCACTAAGACAGAGCCTGATTGTTATGTGCTGTCAAATCTTTTTTTTTACTTATGGCAGCCCTACAGACTGGGGGCCACAAATCCACTGAGTCGGAGGCAAAACCTCATTCACTGATGTGGGCCTGCTGAACAGCCATCCCTTTGGGAGATGCAGTAAGGGTTAACATGATTCTCTCAACTTCTCTTCGAAGGGTGTGATCAGATGGATGACAAATGATCATGTCTTACAGCATCAGAAAGGATTGCTTTGCAGGAATGATCCCCCTTAAAAGTCACCCTTCTGTCCATTAGGAAATTACTCCAGCTAAAGGAATAGCCATGCTGCTGGATCAAAAAGGTCCATGGATTGAGGATGGGCTGAAGCACTGTTGCCCATATATTGCGCAATCACTGGAAAATAGCTTGTACCCAATCTGTTCAACGAGTGGTCCAAAATATAAGCTATATGCCTGAGGGTTAAATTTCATGGCATCTATGCCATGTTTGGTTAGACCCAGAGCTGACTGGACCCATGCACTAGAACTGGACAACCGGTGGCAGACAGGGTCCCCGTGTTTAAAAGGCATTAAAATTACTGTATATGCTTGTGCGGCAGGGGAAAAGAGGGAGAAGTGAAACAGAATTGTTGTTAAATTAGGCATCCTTCAGTCTCGAGAGACTATGGTAATGTGCTCTGTATGGAGGACTTGGAACAGCGTCTAGTGTGGCTGAGGAGGCCAATTCGAGAGCGACAATCCCTTCCGCACCGAAGACAAATACAATATGTCCCCTGTCCAGCTCCCTGGTTTTGCTGCTTTTGGGACTGCCTCTTTGCCTCGGCCTGCTGGACTCCCATTTTGAAGTGTCTCCAGGCTGAAAGCTTGCCTCCAGGCTGAACGCTTAGATGTCAAGGTTTCCCCTCTGTTGAGGTCCATTCCTAAGGGCTTCAGATCCCACTTGCAGATGTCCTTGTATCGCAGTTGTGGTCTCCCTCTGGAGCAATTTCCCTGCACTAATTCTCCATACAGGAGATCTTTTTGAATCCGACCATCAGCCATTCTCACGACATGCCCAAGCCAACGTAGACATTGTTGTTTCAGTAACGTATACATGCTAAAAATTCCAGCTTGTTCTAGGACTACTCTATTTGGAACTTTTTCCTGCCAAGTGGAATGCATAGGAGACAACGCATATGAAACGCGTTCAGTTTCCTGTCCTGCCGTGCACGAAGGGTCCAGGACTCACTGCAGTACAGGAGTGTGCTCAGGACACATGCTCTAATTGTTATTACCTACATGCTAAAACAATCCTCAGTGGAAAATGGCACACAGAAAGCCTCACTTAGTACAATAGATGACTAGATGATTAATTCACAATAATATTTTACAGACTCTGTTGAAATAACTAAACTGTTTTAAAATCTCACTCACAAGTTGTGGAAGAAAGTATTCTATATGATAAAAATATTTTACCTCAGAAATAATGTATTTTTCCAAAAGTGAGAGAACAGTGACTGATGAGATTGTGATCCAGTCTGTACTATTCTTATTCTTATTATTAGTTTTACAGTATTTATATGCTGCATTTCTCCCAACAAGGGACCCAAAGCAGCTCACAACATTAAAATTCACACAATTTAAAACTACAATAAGTTAAATATTAAAAGATAAATTAAACAATATATGATTTAAAATACTATTAAAAGATTAAAACTTGAAAACATAAAAAATATTGAAATTTCTGCTGAAATGGGGTTCAGGGATTCAGTTATAATTGTTAAAAGCCTTCCTGAAGAAATGGGTCTTTAGCATTTTTTTCAGAAGGATAAAAGGGAAGGGGCCATCCTGATCTCCCGAGGGAGAGCGTTTCATAGCCTGGGAGCTGACACCGAGAAGGCTCTCTCTCGGGTCCCCATCAGCTGTGCTTGTGCTGGCAATGGAACTGAGAGGAGGGTCTCCTCTGCTGATCTTAATTGCCGAGAAGATGCATATAGGGAGAGACGGTCCTTCACATAGCCTGGACCCAAGCTGTATAGGGCTTTATAGGTAATGACCAGCACTTTGAATTGGGCCCAGAAATGGACTGATAGACAGTGGAGTTCTTGTAACAGGTGCATTATACACTCCCTGTAGCACTCCTCAGTCAGTAGTCTGGTTGCAGAGTTTTGCACCAGCTAAAGTTTCTAAACCATCTTCAAAGGCAGCCCCATGTAGAGCGCGTTACAGTAATCCAAACAGCATGTAACTAAGGCATGTGTCACTGTAGCCAGATCTGACATCTCAAGGAAAGGGTGCAGCTGGAGCACCAGCTTTAGCTGTGCAAATGCACTCCTGCCCACCGCTGAGACCTGGGCAGCCAAGCTTAGGGATGAATCCAGCAGTACACCCAAGCTGCGGACCTGGGTTTTCAGGGGGAGTGTAACCCCATCCAGCACAGGTAGTATCCCTGTTCCCTCATCTGCCTTCCTGTCTTATCTGGATTAAGTTTCATTTTGTTTGCCCTCATCCAGCCTGTTACTGATGCCAAGCACTGGTTTTGAGTCAAGACAGCTTCCCTGGAATTAGGTGGAAAGGAGAGATAGAGTTGGGTGTCATCCACATACTGGTGACACCGAACCTCAAATCTCCAGACAACTTCTCCCAATGTTTTCATGTAAATGTTAAAAAGCATGGGTGACAAAGAAGAACCCTGAGGAATACCACAGGCCAATGGCCAGGGCGCGGAGCAGGAGTCCCCCAGCACCACCTTCTGAGTTCTCCCCTCCAGGAAGGACTGGAGCCACTGTAAAACAGTGTGTCTGAGTCCCATCTCAGAGAGATGGCCGAGAAGGATACCATGGTTGATGGTATCGAAAGCCGCTGAGAGGTCCAGCAGAACCAACAGGGACTAACCCTGTCCAGTTCCCGGAGTAGGTAATCCACCAATGAGACCAAAGCAGTCTCTGTCCCATAGCCAAGCCTGAAACCAGATTGAAATGGGTCTAGATAATCCACTTCCTCCAGGAATCCCTGGAGCTGAGAAACCACAACACACTCCAGTACCTTGCCCAGGAATGGGATGTTTGAGACTGGCTAGTAGTTATCCAAAACACTGGGATCCAGGGAGGGCTTCCTCAGGAGCAGTCTTACTCCTGCCTCCCTTAAGGAAGAAGGAATCCTATCCTGCTGCAAGGAGGCATTTACCACTCCCCGTATCCAATCAGCCATTCCTCCTCTTTCTGCTTTTATGAGCCAGGAAGGGCAAGGGTCCAGATTGGATATTTCTTTTAAAGTAATGGCTCTGCTTTATGTTGATAAAAAAAGGATTTGGAAAACGGCTAGCTGTTCTTGCAATAATACTAAAACCTAGATTTTCCACTTTTTTGTCTATCCATTTATTTATTACACCTCAAAATGAATGAAAAGATCATTTTAAAAAGTTATAAACAAAAAAATCAGATTGTCTAAACATAATTAAATTTAGGTAAACCCGGCCCCCCACTGAGATCTGTATCTACGTGTGTGTAAAGAAAGAAAGAACACAAAGTAAACAATACAACCATTACAAACAATACACCCCAATCAAAATCACTAATAAACATCAAATAGTTGTAAAGGAGAGTCTGAAGGACCATGTCTTCATATCCTTTCTCAAACACAGTAAAAGATATCACTGATCATAACACTACATAGAATATGCATACTCTCTCAATGCATCAGTGAATATTCTATTGCAGAAAATGGTGAGATTCCCAATGGAAAGAACAGTTCAATTTTTTAAACCCTAGAAGTACACATTTCTAGCAATGTGAGAGGAAGAATGCACACAAACATGGAACAGAGTGAAAAATATATCCAGTAACCCAAATGTTGGGATGTGGGTTGTATTTATTTAAACCAACATCCAATTGGTAATCTCAACTAAAGAAGACCCACTGAATCATTTGCTGAATAGTAAGTCAATACATTTATAAATCCCACTGCTTAACTGGGTCAACTCCATTTGGGAATAGCAACTGGCTATAGACTCTTATATTTATTCTACAGTATTTAACATTTTTTAAAATGCCTTTCAAGAGCTTCTGTAGGTGGAAGGAGTTGTTTTAATCACAGGTTTCTGGCTGGGGATGATGGTAGCTAAATCTAACAGAACTAGAAGGCACCAGGTTGGGGAACATTACCTTAAAGAGCTTCCAAATGAAACAAAAACAGGAGGAAGGCTGCAAAATGGTAGCAGAATGGCGAAGTTTTGTTGTTCGCGTCACTAATTACCCCAATGGCAATTCTGAACAAACGTCCAAGACAGGACAACAGCCTTGCATACTAGCCGTATAGATCGTCACATTCATGGTTTGAATGCAAGGAAAATAAAATTGTGCCGTAAGAAGGAAGATCCTATGGGGATATTATCCTGGAAATTATGTTGTAACAAGCAAGCCACAATTGTGCATTCATTGGACTCTAATCTACAAAGGACCTAGTGAGCTGCTTTTGAAGCACGTGATTAAACTGGACCTTGATATATATTTGCGCTGGGTCCTATAGACACCCTCCCTGCCACCAAAAAAGAAAAGAAGGGGGTATGTGGAGAAGAGCTTACCTTTACATAAAGCTGCTGAAATTCCTCTAGATTCAGTCTTCCACTAGGGCAATCCTTTAGAAATCCTTTGTACCACTGTTTGAGTTCATGTTCATTAAACTCTGTGCTTTTCACCAGATCCTCCATCACTTCGGGAGCCAGCTTGCTATTCTGTTTCCCCATTGTGCCTTAAAAAAAAGAGAGAAGGGCAAAAGGCATGTGTTTATCAGATTTCCACTCAATGGGATGCTCCCACTGGTCCACATGAAATCATTGGGATGATCTCAGAGTCAGGAACCACTAGGCCCAACAGAAGTCTAGAGTGCCTTTTATTCAACCTGCATTTGGAATCAATCCCTGCTGGCTTTTATCTCCAAAAGTAGCTTTGAAAGATATATAAAGACCTCTCTCTCTTTCTTTCTCTCTCTCTCTCTCTCACACACACAATAAGGTTGACGAAAAACAGTGTGGCAGAGGCGATGATGACTGCAGTAGCTTCTTGTCATTTTTGCAGATGGCTGATGTACGAAGTGATGAGAGATCAGTGCTGTTTTCTTCACTGAAGTGCCAGCTTCAGACTACACAATTTGTTTATTTATTTGAGGTTTGTTTTGTACTTATATTTATATCTCGCCTCTATTTATATCCCATCTTTCCTCCAGTGAGCTCCAGGTGGCATCGTAGCTCACTTTCTTCTCCACTATGCGGCAGGGTGCACTAAGCAAGAGCGACTCAGAGGTTGTCGTGACTCAGTGGGGACTTCAGCCTTGACCTCCTGAGCCCAACGCTCTGCAGTCAAATTGACTCTTGACAGGAACAATAAGAAAAGCCCAGAAATGGCTACAGCTCACAACTTGAAAGTTCATGCCAATCTTGTACATGTTTCCTTTTCAGAATAACATCTAGCAACCCAAATCTGTCAGTTATATTAAGATCGCTACTTCTTCCAGCCAGTTTTATCCCAAATGATGTCATCAGATTACAACACCTATTAATTATGACTCAGCCTGTTAACAGACTGCATAACACAAACATCTTCAGGTAGGGGGTACCGCCCCAGTGTTAATTTACCATGCCTTTTATACAAAACCTTTCCTTAAAAACTTCCTATATGCAGGAGGTGAGTGGGTGTTGTAATCCTGTGCATTCATTCCATGTTATTTATTGGTCCAGAAAAACACAGCCATTATCTGCCTTGTTCTATTTGATGCAAAAAAAACAACAACCCTCTATGCTAGATGAACATTGCTGTTCCAAATAATCCTCTATCATAATTATACCCCTCCATTCCTTCATCTGCTGCTCAAATGCCACTTCTTTTATTTCCAAAACTACATTGTTAATTACAATCCGTAGCAGGCACAGTGTTTCTGAACAGCTATCAAGTGTGAATCCAAGATTTCTGGTTGCAGATTTAATTAATGAGAGTAAGAAAACGGTAATTCATGGATTATCTAATTTGCCACAAAGCGGATCCCAACATTTTTGAAGGTTTTGTGTGCTGTTCTTTTATCACCATTACAAATCTGTAATGTTGCTGCCACTTCTAAAGTGCTTGTGACACTCTTTCTCTCTCTTTCTCTCTCCTTTTCTCTCTATCTATTTTTACACCAATATATGGAGTTGCAAATATAATTTTAAAAGTACCTACTCTTAAGCACACATTCACACATGTAAGTAAAACATGCCCAGATTTTCATTTGGAACAAAAGTAAATTGTTCAGTTACTTTGTCGGATAAAAAAACCCTGATGGTTTACCCTCCCCAGGAGCCCTACAGAACTTTACAGACCTCCTGAGAAGAAGAAGAAAAAAATCAGAAGCCTGTGTTCATCACAGCTGGCATTTATTCCAATTAAGGATTAATTCCAGAATAAACCCACAAATCTTTAACAATCAAAATCCATCTGAGTATCAAGTTATACGTATTTTCACTGCTGCAATAATTTCAGGTAACATCAGCTTGTCTAATTCTACAAGCTTTATTTATCTACATTGTTTCTATCTTCTATACAGTATGTACAAAATACTTCAGGGTTTTTTGTTTTTTTTTGTAAAATACGAAAGTCTTACGGCTATGAACTCTAGGCACAAATCCATAAACAAAATCCTTCCTTTTGCAACCCGTAAAAAGATGCTGGTGTTAAAACTTAAGTTGTAGGTAAAACTTGGGTCATGTTTGAATTCAAAATACAGGATCTGCAATTTCATATTTGGCTAACTGCTTTTATTATGGTTTTGGTCACTGTTTTGTCTACTATTAAAACTCTAATAATATGCAGTTACAAGCCCCCTAGACCACTGCAACTTCAGACTATTATGGTTATCAGTAGAATGTACTACTGGACTGGCAAAAATATTTTCATCAGAAATAATTCTATTTATTGCATCATTCATACTTTAGTTCCTTGTTAATCTGGCAGACATGAATGAAATTCTCCAAAGCCATGTTTATATGATTGATTGATTGATTGATTGATTGATTGATTGATTGATTGATTGATTGATTGATTACCCTGTCTTTCTCCTTAAAAAGGACCCATGGAGGCTTGCATCATTAAAGCACAATATTTTAAAGCTAAAAACATTAAGTATACCAGTATTTAAAATTATATATTTAAAAAACCAGACTAAAAAGGGTAAATAAATCAACACCAAAAACAGATCCAAAGCAACAAGGCACACAACATTCCATTTAAAACCACCTCTCGGACAGCCAATCAAAGAGCCTGACTGAAGAGAAAAGTTTTCATCAGCAAGGATGGGAGCAGTCTGGTCTCCCATAGGAGGGGGTTTCAGGATCTGGGAGCAGCAACAGAGGAGACCCTCCCCCATGTCCCCATCAGTCGCATGATCTTAACACCTAGGCAGACTCATAAAGGCAGGGAATATAGTCGCACCTGTGGGGGTGGTGGGACCAACAGAAGGGCCTCCCCTGATGATCTTAACCCCTAGGCAGACTCATAAAGGCAGGGAATATTATGGGCAGTCAGCTATCCTTCCTGCAGTGACCAACAGGGAAAACTCAGAGGGAGAATGGGCAAGCTAGCATGGAGAGACCTTTGAGGGGTTCCAGGTCAGCACCTTTCTCTACTATGTTCTGGAACTCAACTAAACCTTTTCTGCCTCTTGCTCACGACTACTCCCAGGTTCCACCTCTTCCCACCAAGTGGGAATCTCAAAGGACCTTTGGCTTGAAATCTTCCTTCAGGTGCTCTTGCCAGGAGCACGGCCGGCCTTGATCCGCCAGCTCCAGGGACCATAGAGCTGTTCCAATTCCAGTGTGCTGGAACTAGGCCCAAGAGCCCTCAGCGTTGTAACGTCTGGGTTCATGTGAACAATGGAATACATAAATGTTGACATGCATTATTTTTAATGCTTCTGCTACCACCTTTTCTTGTTCTGCATGTGAGAAACAATGCTGGGAAAGGTTGAAAGCAACAGGAAACGTGGAAGACCAAATATGAGATGGATTGACCCCCCAAAAGGATGCCACAGCCTTGGATTTCTAAGAGCTGAGCAGGGCATTTGAGGACTGGACATTTTTGGAGATTGCTCATTCATAAGGTTACCATAAGCTGGAGTTGATTTGATGGCACGGTAACAGCAACAATGTGAGAAATCCAGAAGAAGTGTGTGAACAGTTCGATGTCCCACTCCTCGGTGCCCCTGAAAGACCAAACCAGATGCATGGAAAATTCTGCGGGGTGTGGTAATAGGCCAACATCCCTTGTTATTTTTCATGGAGAAGTTTTAACAAACCCCCCACTGCGCCTTGGTAATAACTGCAGCTCCCGACAAAACACTGCATTGTCCCTTTCTTCTCAGGCTTCCTTTGACATTGCCTTTCTCCTTACTCATGTCAGCATGAAAAGGAGACAGAAACACACAAAGCTGTCAAATCCCTGTGACATGTTTGACCCTTTCATATATAATTCCTGCTTCACTGAAAAGAGAGAGAGAGAGAGACAGAGAGAGAGACAGAGAGAGAGACAGAGAGAGAAGGAGGGAGATAGTAACGTAAAGAAGCATCTTTCCCTAAAACTGACAGAAGAATTTCTGGGGAAAACATGGCTTAAAAGAACAGTTGCTAGAATGTTCCATGAATATTAAAAGCCATAGCCTCCCAACCAGGGAAGGCAGCAGAAATCCTCTATTGAGCTCTACCTAAGGCTATCACCAGGAAGTTGTTGAAAAATCATGCTACTGAAGTGTCAAAATAATGCCTTCACTGTAAACCACAATGTACCACACTCACAAGAAAAGTAACAGAATGTTAAGGTGGAAGAAACTTCCTGTTTTGTTTTGATGGTTTCCCTTCTCAATGTCTGTGGAAGGCATCCAGATTTACTCCTTAGATTTTATGATATTCTTCGACGCCAATTCTTAAGTGAAAGGAAGTCTCGCTCTCTTTTTCAGCTCCTGCGCTTACTTGCCCATAATGACACTGTCAGTTTCCATGATCTCTGTGTGTTTTAGCCCTGAAGATGCTTGCTATTACTCCCGCAAAGAAGATTCGAGGATGAAGCTGCTTTCTCAAAGAAACACCAGCAATCCAGTACTGGCATGGAATGTGTCTCCTAGTTGTATAACCAGAACACCCAGAATCCCCCAGCCAACATGTGATGGATTTCCAACACCGCAATAACAAATATTTCAAAAGCTATTTCACGTAGCACTTCTCCAATTGCTTCCTAGCTGCATAAGTAACCAATAACTGTATGCAGATAAATGAGAAAGCTTCTACAACGAGGAGTGGACAGTTGCATTCTTTCTGTGTGCTCACCACACAAACTAAGCAGGCTGCCAAAGGTAGGATGGCGCACCACTGCCAAAGAATGGAAAAACAAGGAGCTGTGGCTAAGGGGGGAGGGAGGCAAGTAATAATCTGAAAAGAAGGAAGTCATAATCTAAGCATACATTGGGAAAACATCCACATAACGCCAGCTCACTATCTGTCTGTCCATGAGGCTCCCCTTCTGGTTCAGCTTGCTTGCTGCAGGCCCTGGCTTTGCATTTCAGCAGTGCATGTGTGTGGTTGCATGGGGGGGGCTAAAGAGCATGGAAAGACAAATGCATGCAGAGCCCAGCAAGCCTGTAAGAATAACATGGGATCAGACAAAACGTGTGCAAGGACAGAGAAATGCTGGGAGGGTGGCAGCTTTCTCCCTGGTTCAAAGAGCTCTCCA